TGGAATGGGGCCATCCAGTATGTGCTCGGCAGGTGAGGCAGGCAAATAAACAAATTTGCCTCCACTGAGGTGATGTTGAATGCGGTTCCCTTGCGCAAATGCTCATGCAAGGTCGCAAGAAGGGGCATGTCAATTAGAATGGATACTTTTGGCCCGTATAACTGCATTAAACAACTCAAATACTTCAGTGGCAAACAGAATTGCGGGACCAAAGCGACAGATATGTTGTACTAAGTGTACAAAAATGTGAAATTTTGGCTTGTTAAACCAACGACATGTCCATTGTGCTGAACATAATAAGAAATATTCTATTTTTTTTGTGAGTATGTCCTAATGACAGTCATGAGTAGAACTTTATATTAAACAAGCTGCCACTGACCAAGTGTGCATTGATGTCATGTATTTCTGGCTGATAAATCAATGGAATCAACTTGGATAATGCAACCCATGTATCCATACACTCCTTGGAGACAAGGTCATAGATGACAAATGGGGCCACCTGAACTATGGCACAAAAATCCCGCCCTGTAAGTGAACCAGAATACTGTCCCAACGTTTTTCCAGCAAGTGGTGAGATGCCAAGGCCATTGACATTAAGAGATAACAGTCTGGTGGCAAGGAGGTTGAGCTTGTCTAGTTTACCCTTAAGCTGAAGCTGTATTAAGTCTCGCCACAAGTATTTAACAAAGCCGAGTAACACAACATGTAGTATTTTGACAGGCGTGTCTTGATGTGGGTCAAGGCCTGTGAAGCATAAGGTTTTGAGTAAATTGACAAAAATACCACAAATGAAATTACCTTTGATTCTCCACACAGGACTGATGATTGTGTTGGGAAGAGATGCTATTGACTCATCTAATGCAGCTTATTTGCTTGCCACACCTCTCAAACGCTGGTATGAACCAACAACCTTATCTATAAAATACTTCTGAAAGGTGTCTTTGATACCAGATTCTGTGCGCATCTTGTCAACTTTTGTCTTTGAATCAAGCTGGGATGCTTGAACAAATTGGGCATGCAACTGAGTGATTGTTTCTTGCTTTTTTTGAGGTTTACCAACCTAGATAGAATTTGACAGATCAGCTATGGGTAGTTGCATAATAATAAAAGAGCATACTTTGAC